AGTCCCAGCCACTGTCACCTTGACCTGGGATGCTGGTCCAGTCTCCTTACTTTCTTCTTCCACTCCAGACCCCCTTCAATCAATTCTCCACATGGCCCCAAGTCATCCTTTCAAAGCACACATCAGATAATATAACTACCCTGCCTAAATCATGGGACTTGAAATAGAATAGAATAGAAATAGAATCACTCCCTGCTCTCCTGTGCTTTTCTCCCTTCTCTCCAGCCACAAAAGGCCTTCTCCTGGGTCCTCAGAAATGTCAGGTTCCTGCCCATCTCTCTGATCGAACATTCTCTGTATGACTCATCACAGCTGGTGCCTTCTTTCCCTTCAGCTGCAGCTTACACGGGACCCCCTCAGAGAGCCTTTCGGGTCCCCCTGGATCTGAAGGACTCCCCCCATTATTCTCTTTGTCTCCTTCAGTGCACTGAGCACACATACATGGATGTGTGCGCATGTCTCGTGTCCATCTGCTCCACCAGACCACGGTCTGTCTCGCCTTTGCAAGAGTGGTGAGCTTTCATACGACTGGGCCGACAGCTACGCGGCCAGGCTCCCAGAACCCTCCCCAGCAGCGGCAGAATGCTGGGTGCTGCAGAGATTAACTAGGCAGAATGTGAACTCCAGGGCCGGTGGCAAGATGTTTTAATGTCACTTTTAAAACACGGACATAAAATGTATACATAGTAATATGCACGGATCCTAAGTAACAACACTCTGATCAAGCTCAGGAATATTTCTCTCACCCCAGAAATTCCCTCTTGCCCCCTTTCAGTCAACCCCCGGACTCACAGCAAACACTGCTGGTAGCTGCATTTTCTTTTTTAAGATTTACAAAAATATTTTTAGTAATCTCTACACCCATTGTGGGGCTTGAACTCACAACCCTGAGATCAAGAGTCGCATGCCCCACCCACTAAGCCTGCCAGGCGCCCTGGTGGCTGGATTTGCAGACGCTGTCCAGGCAAGGTCGGTGGACTGTTTTTATAACATCCCAGCCAGTCCCCATGTCTTGGGCCCCAGTGAGGCCCATTTCTAATACCAGTGTGCTAACTGGTACAGCCTCTGGGGTTGATGGGAAATAAAAGAAGCTAAGCTCTGGTGGTGGCCAGGATGAGAGAATTGCCCTGCTGGGCACTGGGGCCGAGAACCTTCACCCTCACCCCTCTCGGTGTGAATTCCCTCAGAGCAACTGTCTGCTCCCGGAGCTGAGCTTAAACTAACAGACATCTAACATCACACAGTTGGTGCTCAAATTCGGACGCTATAGCAGAGAAGGACCAGCAGAACAGGCCAGGCACCGGGGATATTTGTGGGCTGGCTTGCGGGCCGGAATGGCCAGCCAGTGGGCCCCGGACGGGTGGTCTGCTGGAGCCGAGAGTCTGGTTGACATCCTGTGGGCCACACGGCCAGTCCAGCAGACATAGACCGCATTCGAGCACAATCTTCTCTCACCACCTGCCACCTCGTTTCGGAGCCACCTCTGACCCGCCCTTCCCCCTTTCCTGATGCAGGGTCATCTCAGGGGCTTCTCTGAGACGTGGAAGGAGAAACAGTTCCAGAGATGCATGATCAAGGCTGCCTATTTCTCTCTCTCTCTGCAGCCCCCCAGACTTTCCACCTTCCAGGAGTCCAGCGATTCCTGGTCCTGGGTTCAATTCTTGTGGGTCCCCCTTCCTGAAGTCCCTCTCCATTCTTCCCCTGAGCACACAGTTCGGCCTGTAGTGGGTCCTCAAAAAATGTTCCTTGATGGAAAATTGCTTTCCTGGCTCTCACATGATCTTTTTATTGAGCTTATGATGTGGGTAGAAATTAGGAAGACTCTGTGACAGATGGGGAAATGAAGCTGAGGGTGGGTGTCTACCCCACCAGCCTGCTGGTGCTTACAGGACAGGGGTCTGTGCCCTCCCTTCACACCAACACACACACACACACGCACGCACGCACGCACGCAAGCCTGCACACTCTGGGCCTACCTGCTGAATTGCATGGGGGCAGCTAAGCCTTGGTCTCTCTGTAAAATGGGGCATCGTGTCAGATGCTCACTCTACAGGCTCACTCTTCACCTTTCTCCATTCTGCACTGGTCAGTGGAAGCTGACTATCCCAAGGCCGCAGCTCTCACCAGGTTCTGGAACCTTCTCTTGTTCCCCAGGTGGCAAAGGCTTCTTGCTGCTGCTAGCCCTGAGTGCTACCAGCCTTTCTTGGCCCCTTCAACTCTGCCCACCACTTTGTAAAAGTCTCTTCCTCAAACCCTTTTCAATTACGCCCTTTGAATATGCGATCTGTTTCCATCCAGGGCCCTGATGGCTACAAGAATTGATATCAGAATGGCCCTGGGAAACAGATCCTTGGTGCTGACGTCTGAAATTGGGTGGCTCCCACATCGTGATTGGCGCTTGAGCAGCCTCCTTGACAGGGGTAATGGGCATCAGCAATCTGCGGTACCCCCCGTGACAGTAGTGATTACAGCCTGGAGTGGCCTTCTGACTCTCCATCTGATGGCCCTAGGAAATGTACACAAAGGAAAAAAACAGATTGAAAGCCTTAAACTGGGCTACGCTGGGGGGAAAAATTTCTCATATTTGCCTGGAGGCAATGAGAGGTGATGGGGTGCGTTCTGAGGAAAATCAACATCCCTCGTGAGGCAACTTCCCCCAAATGAAGTCACTGAATGACTTTTATGCTAGGAAAGGCTGGTTTCCTCAGACCGAAAGCAGGGCATTCTGCCCTCACCAACAGGGAAGATTCAGGGTGTGTTGGGTTCTCCTTAGCAGAAGATACTTGGGGGTGGCACATTTCATTGGCTCTGCAACCCTGGGACTTTGACAGTGAGGGCCTGGGCTTGGTCCTCCGCCTGCACTGTCACTACCAGAGAGCAGATTCCTTCAGGGTCACCCTGGGGGCTTCCTGGATTTCCTCTCTTGCATGGAGTCGTGAGTTCAAGGCTTTCAATCCATTCTTAGCCCCAGTGGGTCCAAGGAACCACAGACCCTGTGTCTGTAAATTAACTGGAAGAATCCCCCCACTAGTTTCCTGACTCAACGAGGCTCTGAGGGATGGAAAGGCCAAATGGAAGCCCCTGAACTGCAATGTCACCACCATCAGAGGAGCCAACCAAAGGCAATACTGTATTCCTCAGGGAATTTCAGAAATTAGTGCCGCCATCAAAGATCTGAACTATGCAGAGATTATCATTCCTCTCAAGCCTCAGTTTACCTCACTTACTTGGCTGATGCTAAAACCTGTTGGGTCTTGGGGAATGGCTCTAGATTAGGTAGGATGTCAATTGCAGCTGTGGTTCTACACATGAATTTTTTTACTGGAACAAGTCAGCACAGCTCCTAGTCTGATGTACATCTTTGACCCAAGACGCGTTCTTTTCTATTCCACTAAGTAAAGATCATCGGAAATCATCTGCCTTTGTATAGCAGAGACAGCAGTACGTCTTCCCTCTATTACTTCAGGGTTTTGTCTATTCTGCGGGTTTCTGTCATAACATGGTCCAAAGTGACAACCATCATCTTGATATAGTTCAGAACACTATGCTGGTTCATTATATTGATGAGATTTTGGTAATTGGGCCTAGTGAGCAGGAGATTGGGAGCACTTTAGATTCTTGGTAGAACATATGTATGCCAACGGGTGATAAATCGCACAAAAATTCAGAGGCACGTCATGTCAGTGAAATTCCTAGGCAATCTGGTGGTCTGGGGCATGTCAAGATATCTCCTATAAAACAAAAGACAAGTTGCTGAACCTTATACTGCCCCCTGCAAAGAAAGAGGCAAAATGTTTGATGGGGTTCTGGATTTTCGAGGCAACATATATCCCACTGGGCTGTGCTATTCTACCCATTTACTGAGAAACCTGGAAGACTGAACATTTCGAGTGAGGCCTACAGCAACATAAGACCACAGAGCAAGCTGCCCTGGAAGTGGCAGTTGGCAGTTGGCAGTGACAATGGCGAAAAAGTTGCTGTGTAGACAAGCTCCAACAGGAAAGTTGCAGGACAGTTACAGACCCTTAGGGTTTTAGGTTAATTCATACTCTCTTCTGCCAATAACTATTCTCCATTTAAAAACAGCTCCTGGGGGCACCTGGGTGGCTCAGTCGTTAAGCGGCTGCCTTGGGCTCAGGTCATGATCCCAGGGTCCTGGGATCGAGCCCCCCATCGGGCTCCCTGCTCAGAGGGAAGCCTGCTTCTCCCTCTCCCACGCCCACTCCCCCTGCTTGTGTTCCCTCTCTCCTGTGTCTCTCTCTGTCAAATAAATAAAAGCTTTAAAAAAAAATAAAAAAAATAAAAACAGCTCCTGGCTCCCAACTGGACATGGTGGAGACTGGAGGCCTGACTGTGGACACCAAGTGACCCATGCCACCAGAACTGGATATTATCTGATCCCGCTAATCATAAAATTGGACATGCATGGTAGCATTCTATCATTAAATGGCATATATGAAATCAGGTCTGAGCAAGTCCAGAAGGCACAGGGAAATTGCATGAGCAGGTGGTTCAAATTCCCATGGTACCTCCTCTTATTGCTTCACTGCTTCTCCCTCAAGTTGGGGGAGAAAACACAGACACGATTTCCAAGTGAGTCTGCGTGGTATGTAAGCACCAGCCACAAGTGGACAACTGCTGCATTAAAGCCACACTCAGGGTGTCTCTACGAGACATCGATGAAGGGATAAAGCTCTTAGAGCATCAGGGTAGAACTTCGGGTTATATCGGCTGTCCATTCTGCGTGGAAGGAGGGATGGCGATCAGTGACGAACAAGTTTGCTGGCTGGTCAGAAACCCGAAAATGACAAGACTGGGAGATTGGCGGTGAGGTCTAAGGGAGAAATATATGGATGGACTTCTTGAAATGGGCACAGGTGGTGAAGCTATTTCTGACCCACACAAATGCCCTGCGAGAGCATCCATTATGAAGAAAGCTGTCAATAATCAGGCGGATGAGACCCATTCTGTAGATGTCAACTTCTTTTCCCAGCTACCTCGGTTCTTGCTCAATGGGCCCACATAGAGTGGCCATGGTGGCAGGGATGGGGGCTATTCATAGTAAGGTAGGCAGAATAATGACATCCCAAAGATGTTCTAATTCTTGGAATCTGTGAATACATTTTATATGGCAAAGGTGAATTAAGGTAGCAGATAGAATTAAGGTTGCTGAACAGCTGATTGTAAAACTAGGGAGAGTATCCTGCATTATCTGGATGGGCCCAATGTAATCACAAGGGTCTTTAAATGTGGAAGGAGGAGGTAGTCTGTGTCAGGGTGGTATAATGTGGGAAAGGATTGGCCATGACCAATTTTGAAGATGGAAGGAGGGCACCTGCTAAGGAATGCAGGTAGCCTCTAGAAGCAAGAACAATAGATTCTCCTCTAGAGACTTCAGAAAGGAATGCAGCTTTGCTGACACCTTGGTTTCAGCCCAGTAAGGCTTATGTCAAGCTTCTGACTTCCAGAACTGTAAGATAATAAATTTGTGTTGTTTGAAGTTATTAAATGTGTGGTAATTTATTACAGCAGCTATAGAAAACTAATGCACATAGGCTCAACATATTTCCCTCACCTAATCTGATGGGCAATTGGCACTGCTGAGCACCCTGGCTGCCCACAGCAAAGACCAAGCTGAGTTTCCTATGTGGCACCATTCCCTGGGTCAATGGTTCTCAAAGTGTAAACTAGGAACCCCTGGGGGTTCCCCAATAGTCTTTTAGGAGTTCTGTGAGGTCAAATCTACCTTCATATTACTACTAAGGCATTCTTTGTCTATTTCATTGTCATTCTTTCATGAGTGTATATAGGAATTTTCCAGAGGGCTGACATACATACAACAGACTAAATGCTGAAGCAGATTTGAGAATCTAGCTGTCTTGCATTGAGCCAAATATCTTTCAAGATTGGCAAAAATGTTGAGTAAGGCTGCTCTCTTCACAGTTGTTTTGAAAGTTATTTTTCATTCAAAACTTTACATTTGTATTAACATGTAATAGATATATTCATTTTAAATGACTATTTTAAAGCTTAATTTCCTGGGGACACCTGGGTGGCTCAGTCAGTTAAGCATCTGCCTTTGGCTCAGGTCACGATCCCAGGGTCCTGGGACCGAATCCTGCATTGGGCTCCTTGCTCAGCGGGGAGCCTGCTTCTCTCTCTGCCTGCCACTCCCCTTGCTTACATGCTCTCTGACAAATAAATTTTAAAAAATCTTTAAAGCTTAATTTCTCATCCAGCAAAATAAATATAACCACCACAAAGGCCCTTTATAATTTTTAAGAGTACAATTTTTCAATAATTTTTAAGAATGTGAAGGATTTCTGAGACCAAAACCTTGAGAACCACTGTTCTAGGGGGACCATCTACCTACCCATTGGTGGGTCGATTACACTAACCCCTTCTTTTATGAAGGGAAAAGTTACTTACTAGCTCATGGTAATAAACATATATTTCTGATACGCACTTCCTTTCCCTGCCTGCAAGGCTTCAGCCAGCACCATCGTCTCTGGACTTTCCAGAATGCCTTATTCATCACTATGCTATCCCACACATTGCCTAATTTCATTCTATGGTGAGGGGCATACAGCAATGATCTTAATGCATTGGACTTACAATGTGCCCTGTCGCTCAGAAGCAGTTGAATGGATAGAATAGTGTTACAGCACCAGCTGGGAGATACTACTGTGCAATGTGAGGTGGACGGGCAGGATGCAGTCCATGCTTTAAATCAGTGGTCAATATCTGGTTCCACCTCTCATAGCCAGAACACAGAGGCCCAGGGACCAAGTGGTAGGGATGGGAGTGGCTCTGCTCAATATTATTCCGAATAACTTCCTGGGGGAATTTTTGCTTTCCATCCTCTCAACTTTGTGTTCAGTGGGCCTGGAGGAATACTTCCTCCAGGGAACACATATGTGCTTCCTTTAAATTGGAAGTAGAGTCTTCCCTTGGGTCATTTTGAGCTCTGTATGTTACTTAACCTAAAGTCAGAGAGGGGGTCAACTGTACCAGATAGTGTGATTAATCTAGATTACTAGAAGGAAAATGGGGGATGGGCAGGAAGGCAACATCTGGAATCCAGAAGATTTACTGGGTGCCTCTTGGATCTCCCATGTCCAATAATGACCGTCAACGGGAAACTTGGCAACCCAACGAACCTAAGACCAAGAAGAAAACCTGAATTGCACAGGAATAAAGGCTTAGGACAACCCACCAGGTAAAGAGCCCAACCAGCCAGAGAGCTGGCAGCTGGTAAGAGGGGCATAGAAGGGGGTGGAAGGAGGATGCCATCGAGTGCTGAACTAAGCATTGTGACCAGCTGCAGAAGGGGTTCCTTGGTGGGTTTCTGTTGTTTTCTGCACCCCACCCCTCATCTTACTGAAAGAGCCTGGTGATGACATTTTAAGTTAAAGGGTATGACTGAAGCACGACAAGAATATGGTGTCTGACAAGGAGGTGGTGGCTGATGAGACTGGTTTTCCTGTTGGGGATGAGCTTTCCTTCCATTTAAAAAAAAATTGAGCTGAGGGCGCCTGGGTGGCTCAGTTGGTTAAGCGACTGCCTTCGGCTCAGGTCATGATCCTGGAGTCCCGGGATCGAGTCCCGCATCGGGCTCCCTGCTCGGCAGGGAGTCTGCTTCTCCCTCTGACCCTCCTCCCTCTCATGCTCTCTGTCTCTCATTCTCTCTCTCAAAATAAATAAATTAAAAAAATCTTTAAAAAAAAAAATTGAGCTGAAAGGCACATAACCTAAAATGAGCTATGTTGAAGTGAACCATCCAGAGCACTTTGTACCTTCACAATGTTGTGCACCCATCACCACAAACTATTTTCAAAACTTTTCATCACCCCAAGCAGAAATTCTGGAATCATTAAGCAATAGGGACATGAGTTTTTCATCTGAAGGATGGGTGGATGGTGTAGGGGCAAAAGGAACAGCCCTGCTCAGATATCCTGTCCCCTAAATCCACTCTCCCCTTGCTCCATTTACTGCAAGGCTGACCTCTGTGGGCCAAACTCAGTGAAGTCATTCGGAGGCCTTCCTTTCTGGCTTTCAGATGGGTTTGGCCAAGGGGAGGCACCAGTAGGGCAGCTCCCTTCCTCTTGCTCTTCAGGTGGAGGGGTTATAACAGCTTCACTGTGGTGTGAGCCCCCTGGGCCCCATGCCTGCTAGGTTCCCTTCACCCTGCCCACACCTCTGTAAAGAATCCTTTAGTTGAAGGCTCTTCCATATTGCTTTGAATGTACCATCTTTTCTTGTTGGGGCACTGGCTGATACAGGAATGGATGCTATGGTCCTTCCTGACAGGCCTTTTGGCACTGACCACTCCAGACTCCCGGTCTGAGCAAAAGAGACGCTTTCCCCGGGCAGCCCAGGTTCCAGGGGTGCCCGGGATGTGTGCCAAGGCCCCACTGCCCTCTGGTGGTCAGCTCCTGGAAATGCACCTCAGGGATCCAACCTCCACTGAACTGAGCCCACTGGACCCGGCACTGTGCCGACCCTTACACACCTGAGCACTTTCATCCACGCTTTACAGGTGACAGAACCTTCCCGTTGCCCTTCCTATAAACCAAAATTTAACCGAGGACCGCTAGGTCCTATCTTTGCCTCCCTTCCTGTCACCCTCTGACCCAGCCAAACGGGCCTTTTCTCAGATCCTAGGGTCTTTGCCAGGGCAGCTCCTGATTAGAACATTCAGGAACTCCCTGACACCTTCTTCACCTGGTAACCTCAGCTCATTCTCTAGTCCTTTCCTAAGATGACTCAGGACAGTCCTCCTTGTCCCCCCCTCCCCCCCCATCGCCAGGCTGCCTCCCTGAGAGGCTGAAGGCACCCGAGGGCAGGGAGCGCCCTGCACTGCTCACTGCTCTATCTGGTGCCTGGCACACAGTAAGGACCACGCCCGCAGCTGACGGGGATTCGGTGTTTCTTGTGCCAGCCACTGAGCTAAGTACCCCCAGGCCACCCTCCTTCCCGAAGTCCTGGTCCCTAGGAAGCAGCCCTCAACTCTACAAAAACTCACACTGCTTTATTAGAATATGAAAAAGATCCGGTTTCTTCCGTGTGGGCGGCAGAACCACAGCAGCTGTGGCGGCTTTGAACCTGGTTGTCCACGTCACCCTTGCGTGGTGAACTCCTGCCCAAAACAGGACTTGCATGGAGAGGAGAGGGACAGAGGGGCACCCACTGCCCAGTCGGCTGGGAAGAGGGACACTCTGACTATTGCACAATCCTGGGGAAGGACAGACACCAACGGGCCTGGGCCTGGCCATGGTGGCAGTGGAGGCAGGAGTGTGTGCCTGGGAGCAAAGGCCTCTGGGGGCCCAGGACTCTGCCCACCCACCAGTCCTGGTGGGGTGGGAGATGCTCGGAGAGGCCTTCTCCCCTAAGGACTGGGCTCCACAGCAAGCTGGGTGCGGTGCATGTAAGAGGTCCAGGGGCCAAGGGGGTGGAGAGGGATGAGAGAAAGAACAGGCCAGCAGGAACTGGAGGTCAGGCCCAAGAGCATAGAAGGTGCTGGGGAGCCCAGCATCAGCGAGTTAGAGAATCATGAATTGGAGTGGAAGAGGTCACTTCTAAAATCATAGCCTTGGGGCCACAGTTAAGAGCCCAGAGGACCAACCTGGGGGAGTATTGGGCAGACAGGCACAGACGAGGAGGGGTAATTCTCTGGAGTAGGAGGGCTAGAGCTCTGGTAAGCCAGGGGTTTTCAAAATGTTTTAAAAACAGGAATGCCCTCTGTGCAAATTGAATGGAGTGTGAGCAAACAAAACAGATAAAAAGGCAGCACTTTCTGGAGCCCCTGACAGTCCCACCCCTGACAGTCGCCCCTGGAGGGTCCAGTGGTCCCCACTGGAGCAGTCTGGAAAGCAAAGTCACATCACTGTCCAAAGCGCCCCAGCTCCAGTCGGAGAAGCTCAGAGACACCCTCAGCCTGCAGCTCTGAGTAACACAGGTCAGGGGGGCTGGCCAGGGTGACAGAGTTGGCAGGAAGAGGGTGGGCCTGCCGGGTGTCACTGATCCCTACCCCAGTCAGATACCTGGTCCCCCAGTCTTTCCGCTGTTAATGTAGGGCCCGGCCTAGGCCAAGAAAGGTCTTGGCTCCTTCCCTTTCCAGGTGGGACCAAGGCTGAGCCAGAGGCTTTTTGGTTAGGAACTAAGATTGGTCTGAATGAGGTTGATGGAGTAGGGACTAGGCCTCTGAGGGCTGGGAATCTCGAGGCCCTCGGCTGGGTTTGGGAGAGAGCCTGAATCGGGAAGGGGCAGGATCTGCCTCACAGCCCAACAGTTCTGCCAAATGGATTGGGAAGGCAGTTCTGCTGGGAGGGAGGGTGCTTCCCAGGAGGCAGGGGGAAGCCGTGCTGCAGTGGGGGCTGTGGGCCCAGCTGCCATGCGGTCAGGGGAGGGGCAGGGCCAATCCAGGTCAGGAAGGACAAAGGGAGCCCCCAGCTCCCCCAGCAGCCCCTGCTCTGGTGGGAGAGTCTGTGGTGGGACGGGCACTGCCCACTGACCCCAGCGCTACGGCCCCTTGGGGATGAAAGGCTCTCCCTCCCCAGGCTCGGGGTGGGGACCTGGGTCACTGAGGCAGCGCTGTATCCTCTGGGAGCTGGGGCTGTCACTGGGCACAGGGGTGAAGACATCATCTGTTCCTGGGGAAGAGAGCTCCTTGGTCCGCATCACAATGCCCCCATCGTCATCCTCGTCCTCCTCCGCCACCCTGGCTGGGTCCCGGTTCAGCCCCAAGACCTTGCCCTTCAGCTCCTCATTCACCAGGTCCACAGACTCGGGCGACTGCGGGGAGGCTGGGTCGATGGTGATAACCGGCAAGTCGGCCTTCGGCTCATAGGCCAGCGGGTCTGGGGACCAAGAGCAAAGGCACAAGCTGGCTTCTGCCCCTGAGCCCTGCCCGGCGTGTGCCAGCAATTCCCAGAGAGCCTTCCTGTGAGCGTGGTAGTGCTGCCATGTTTCAGGATTACTCCACGTGGGCTGGATGAGCCCTCATCAGCAGTTTCTCTTCCCCTCACACTGCGGTCCCAAAGGCAGGACTGCATTCCTCTCGGACCAGGGGCTCCCACAGGTGACCTTCCCCAGACCAAGAATTAGAGCCCCCTCCTGAGTCACCATCTGCCCCCAGGGCCCAGGCCTGGGAGAAGGCCTGCTACTGTCTCCCCCACATGCTGGATATCCCAATGGTGCAGACCCTTCTTGCCTCCCTGCCAGGCACCAAAGCCCTTCACAGGCCTCCCCATAAGCCCCACATGGAGCACCTCTGTCCCTGGGGAGGACAGCAGGGCCATGCTTCTGCCCCCTTGGGGGAAGCCCCAACTCCACCTGATGTAGAAGGAGCTCATGGCTTGGGAGGAGGTCAGAGGGAGAAGCCTGTCCTCCCCAGTGGCTCCCTGAGGCCCCTTCCTGTTGGGAGTCTCATCCTCAGGAGACAGTGGTACTGAGTGTTCAGCCTCCAGGCCCCTCTCCGGGCACCCTGTGCCCCGCCTTACCTGAGCCGATGCGGGCCCTCGACATGGTAGGTGAGTCCAGCTTGTGGGCCGGCACCGTCAGGTAGTTGTTGATCTGACAAAGACAGGACAGATGGGGGTGAGCACGGGCAGCCCCTCGGGATGGCGCCCAAGGCTGGTGGCCACGCCCTCCTTCGGCGTGTTCGGGACCGCGCCCCTCTGGTGGTTCCTCATTAGGCTCGTCGTCGTCTGCCTCTGTCAGTGCCAGCACTGAGGCCCCAGCTCAGGAGTTCCTGAAGGCTCAGCCCAGCCTCCGTCAAGCTCCAGACCCATAAAGTCAGCTCAGGAGTGGACACCTGGACCCCAAATGGCCCCCAGGTATCTCGATGCAATAGGCTGAAACTGAACCCAGATTCTTATCTTCCCTCAAGACCTTGTTCCATCCTTGGCATCCCCTACTGAACCACCACTCCCAACAGCCCAGAGCAGAAGGCTAGAGAATGACCTCTTTCCTCTTCCCGCAGCCCCACCTCAAATAGGTGACCAAGTCTTGCTACTCCCACTTCCTAAATGTCCCTCGAATGTACCCACTCCTTTCCACCCCCACTCTCCGCCACCACACTAATCCAGGCCACCCCCCCCCCACCCTTTCCCATGTCAGCCCCTTTCTCAGACCGCTTCGTGGTTCTCCATGCCCTTAGAATAAAGCCCAAAGCCTGACACCATTAACAAGCTTTCTGGAAAGCTGAGCCCTCTCAGTTTCTACCGAGGGCCATGTTCTGTGACTGGGAACATAGCCTGGGCCTTCCTCTGCCCACACTCCCTTCATCCTGGCCCTGTTCCTAAGCTTACCCTGACTGTCCCCCCCCCCCCCCCCCAATTCAGAGTGCTCTGGGCCCCTTGCACTTCCTGTCCTGCCTGGGCCACTGCATGAGCAGCTCTGCAAGGGAGGGACTGGGCCGACTCTCTGCTGGATCCACAGAGGCTACTCTGCTGTGCAGCAGTTAGAAACCGCTCACAAAAACGTTCCCAAGCAAACGATCGCATGCACACATGCCTTGCTTTGTGATGTGTGGCAGGTGCCTTTCCCCTGGGCTTTAGTTTTTTCGCTGGGAGACGAGGGGGTTAGAGCACGTGGATAGACTCAGATGCCTGAGGATGTGGTGAGCAGGCACTGGCCTCTTTGTTGCCCTGAGTGGGGAGGAGGCGGAGGAGGACGCAGCTTTCTGGAACCTGCCCTGGGGCTCAGTCTTGCAAACAAGCGGAGGCCAAAACAGCCACAGTGGCTCTCTCGCCAAAGGGGCCTGGTGGCGGGGGCACGGGGGCAGGGAGAACCCAGACTCCCCGGGAAGGGCAGGAGCCGGCTCCAGTCCCAGACCCACCTTCTGCTCCAGTTGCCGGGCCTTCTGTCTGCGGAGCAGCATCTGGTTCCAGGCCTCCTCGTAGGGGTCTGCCACCAGTGTGTGCCTGTTGTAGGACCGCAGCTGTCGGGGGAACAGCTGTCAGGCCCTGGAAGCTGGGCCGGGGGCCCACTGGGATGCCTGGCGGGGGGCAGGGTGGCTCTGCGCACAGGTGGGGCAAGGGTGAGCCAGGGCTGGAGCAGGGGGCCTCCTCTGCTGTAGGGGCACCGGGCACGAAGCAGCCCCTCACCCGCTGCCTGGTCTTCTGCAAGTTGTTCCTCAGGATTTTGCGGATCTCCTCCTCCTTGTCCTTGGACAGTGCTGGCAGGATGCGCTCGGCAGGCAGGGACTTGGGGTGGATGTTCCTGGACAACAGGGCACAGGTTAGGTCCCCAACAAAACTGTGACCCTGGGAAGTGACCCCAGGGATGGCCTGGGGGGGCAGTCCTCTGTGGCCCCGCAGCTCTCTCCCCTACCCTGCTCAGACAACAGATGGGCCTGCCCCCAGCCCTCCCCCTTGGTGCCGGTGGCCTGCCAGGCTGGTGGGAGGGGTCGGAAGCTGTCGCCAGCGGCACTCACTGCATGGAGACAGTGGAGACAGCAGAAGGGATCTTGCCCATGCCACCGCTCTCCACCAGCTCAATTGCCTGCTTCATCTCCATCTTGTGGTAGAAGGCGATGAGCTGGGGCTCCTTGGAGCGCTCCCCCGCTATCAGACACTTCTTCACGTATTTCTTGTTAAACCGGTTGAGCCTGGCGGGAGGAGGAGGAAGATGCATGGAACCAGCTCCTCAGGGTGGGGAGATGCCCAGGCCCAGGGAGACCCTCACCTGCCCCCCCCCACCTGCCCACCAGGCCTGCCACCTACTTGTCCTTCCAGTGGTGGTGGCCGTAATGGCCACAGATGTCCTCGATGCCTGTCAGAAGGTGGTCCAGGAACTGAAATGGGCCCAGGGCCAGGTCAAGCCTCACTGCTGGGCTCCTTCCCTACCAAGACTTCTGAATGGGCCCCCGCCTTCCCCCCTAGTGCAGCGCTGCTCAGCCCAGACTTGCAGTTTCAGGAGCAGCCAGGAGGTGGCACCAACATCTCACTCATCCTGAACCCGTGGCACCTCAAACCCCCTGCCACGGCCGGGCTGAGCCCCCTTCCCTGAATCCACCTGTGCCCAATGCCTGGGATTGGTTCCTACTAGAGGTAGAGATGGCATGACACCCCCTCCTAGGGCTCCTGGTTGCCCACACCACACCTGCCTACGAGCACCATCTGGCGACCTCAAGGGGCTGAAGGCCCACCCGGCACTGGGATAAGGGAGGAGGGAGCCGAGTGAAGCAACGGATGTGAGGCCTAGCTGCTCCCCAGCTCCCTGAGCCTTCTCCTGCAACCAAGGGCCAAGGCCCAGTTTCCAGTACCTGTGTGTGGATCTCCTCGTTGATAGAGCGCTTGGTTTCTTGCTTTTTCTTCACAGCCAACAGGTCTACCAGGGGCCGAATGGTCATGCCCTGGGGGGCAGGTGGGCATCAGGCACTCTAGGTCTGCTACCCTGGCAGGGAGGCCACGGAGCCTCCCCCCTCCCCCGCACCCCTCAGAGCCCCTGAAGCTGGGATGCCCTCTGCTCTGAGGTCCCCACTCTCCCAACCTCCATGTCAGCCCTTGTACAAAGGCAGGTCCTTAAGGCCTGCTTCTTTCTGAAGATACAGCCCCTCCAGCTGAATGACACACACCGGTCACCTAGCCTGGGCGAGGGGTCAGAGGGCCTGGGTTCTAATGTGGGCTCCTCCACAAATGTGCTTTGCAACCCCAGAGAAGTCAGGCCTGGCTGATAGGGAAAACCACTTCACAGGACTGCAACCGCCCAGCCTAGTAACAGCAGTAACAGCTAGTTTCATTGCATGCGTGCCCTGTGCCAGAGCCAGGGGTGATGTACTAGGTATTAGCTCTTGAATGCCCACACTGACCCTGAGAGGTAGGTTCTTCCACTGTCTCCATCTCACAGATGAGAGATTAAGTAACTTTCTAAGGTCTTACAGAAGTAGTAGTAAAGCTGGATTCAAACCCAGGCAAGGAGGCCCCTCCCTCAATGCTGACTTCACTGAAAATGGGCTTGGTAAGCCATTCATGTATACAACTGCCAAGTCAAGGTGATAAAATATTTTTGATGATGGGAACAGGGCAAAAGGGCAAAAGAGGCAGCCCCCTATCCTTAGAAGGGACAGAAGGTCAGTCTGGCCCCAGGAGGATGCCTCCACATGTTTTTCTTCTGAGAAGGCAATGCTGTTTCCCATCTAAAGCTTTGCCAAGATTTGCGCCTAGGAGAGACAGAAGGAATAGAGAAATGGAGGCCTGGACAGATTGTTTCTCACTTGCCCAAAGTCACAGGTCAGGTAAGGTGGAGCACTGACACCATCCAGGCTGGGTTTCCCTGGGGATTCTGAGGGGTGTGGGGGACTCTCTGCTAAGCCAGGGTCATTTAAATGCACAGAGATCACTGACCAGCAGCTGGAAGGACTCCGGGATCATCTAGGCCGGTGCCCTCACTTCGCAGATGGGGAACAGAGACCCAGAAACGGGAGGAGGGTCTTTCCCAAGGTCACACAAGAGCAGCAGAGCGTGGGCTGACTCCAGACCTCCTACTGCCCAGTTCAGCAACCTTTCCAGCTTCCCCCTCCTTTTGTGCTATTATTCCCATTTCACAGGCACAGAAACTGAGATCCTAAGACATTAAATCATTTCCCTGAAGCCTGGTACTTAGCACCACGGGCCTGCTGACTGCGCCCACTTCTGTCAACGCTGTCTGGATTTCTAAGTTAGGCAGCGTTCTGACTGGTCGCTCGTTATCACAACTTCCCTTTCACAATTAAGGAAACTGAGGACCAGAAAGGGGGAGAGGCTTGCCCAAGACTGCATAGCCAGTTATCGCTGGACTAGAACCCATGGCCCCCTCGCGGGTTGTGCGCTTCCTCTTTCCATTGGCAGGGTCAGGGTCCCCAGGCAGGGCTACTCCGCCCTGTCCAGCACCTGCACAAAGACAGTGAAGAAGATGACCGTGATGATGGCAGTGAGGAACAGGTCACACATGGGGAAGTGCTTCTTGTCCAGGAGGTAGCCCAGGGAGAAGGCGATGGCCCCTCGCAGGCCCCCATAAGCGATGATGAACTGGTCCTTGGGGGTCAGCTTCACAATTCGGAACTTGTTGATGAACCAGGTCAGGCCCAGCACCCCTGCCAGGAAGGGCAAGAAGAGCGTCAAGCTGTCCCCAGCCCCTTCTGGCTTCTGCACCCGCAACCGCTCTGCCTGGAGGCAGCCCCGCTACTGCGCCTGCCCAGCGAACTCATTTCCTGGGTCCCTCAGCCAAGAGCTGGGGGGATCCTTCAGGGGCTCTCCCAACCTGCATGTGCTCTAGAGACATCACAGAGGCCTCCAGTGGCTGGAAGTCAGAAGGGGGCTGGAAGAAGTGCTGAAACAAGACTGGCCACAAGTGGATATCCATCCATTATAATGGGTCCATGCGATCTACTTTTCCACATGCTTCAAATTTTCCATAATAAAAAGGTTTTTTTTAAAGGCAGAGACCGGGATTCAACCTCAACCCAAAGAACCAGAATCTCTGGAGGATGAGGCTCAGGACTAAAGGGATTTTCTTTTTTTTTTTTTTTAAAGATTTTATTTACTTATTCATGAGAAACAGAGGCAGAGGCAGAGGCAGAAGGAGAAGCAGGCTCCCCGCAGAACAGGGAGCCCGATGCGGGGCTCGATCTCAGGACCCTGGGATCATGACCTGAGCCGAAGGCAGACGCTTAATAAGTGAGCCACCCAGGCACCCCAGGACTAAAGGGATTTTCAAACGCTGTACCAAGTAGAGGTGATAGCCAGCCAGGCTCAGGGACCACAGACTCACTCCCGGAGAGGAGGTGAGATCCAGAGGGGTAAGTGACACAGTCGCTGAGGTGAGGTATGTCTGGAAAGCATAAGCAGAACCCAAGAACCCGAGGCCTGGTCCCTGTGTGTGGCCCGGGGCCAGCAGCATAGACGGGTCTGCAAGTGCTCAAGTCATCTGCGCCAGAGACAACGCAGAGAACATTCACAGACCCAGGCTCTGTGGCCCAAGGTCCCTGAGGCCCCTTGGTTCTCACACACCATGACTGTCTTCCCAGGGATCGCAGACTCCCTGTGAGACGTCACAAGACCCATCACAGCCTCAGCGCTGCAGAGAGGGGCAGGGAAGCTGCTGCCTGCCGCTGAGCTGGGAGCGGCCAGCAGCCCACCCGGCTGGGCCCCTTCACACGAGGCGCCCGCCCCCCCCACACACCCCCAGCCCAGTTCCTGCCTCCACATCACACACACACAAGCACGGGCACACGCACGCACACCGACGCGCACGCACGCACACACCTCTACCCGGCTCCAGCCCGGGACCTCACCCAGCACTCGGGCGATGAGGCAGAAGAGCAGGGTGCTGATGACAAAGGTCCAGTTCCAGTGGTGGGAGCCGGCCACAGTGGAGACGCCAAGGAAGATGAAAATGAGGGTCTCACTGACGCTGCTCCACATCTTCAGGAAATACTTGATGGTCGTGTGGGACTTGTGGGAGATGTTGGCCTCCACGTAGGGGCGCATCACCACTCCCGAGGCGATGAGTCTGGGGTCATGAAAGAGCAGAGGTCGGGGTTCAGGGGAGCTGCACCTTCCCAGAGCCCCTCCACTGCCATGGAGGCAGACAGGGGCCCATGTCCTGAGCTCCCTGACAGGTCAGAACCCGTTGCAGGACACAACTCGTCCAGCTCTGTCCTCTCACTCAACCCTTCAGGCGTGGGCACGTTTTTGCATTTTTCAGATGAGGAATCTGGGAGGTAGAGAGACAGATGCCTGTCCGCTGTCACCCTGCCAGTGAGCGGCAGAGCTAAGATGCAAACTAAGGTCTGCCCGACTCTAAAGCCCATGCCTCCCCCCACGGCCATGTTGCCTCCGTCTAACAGGAGTCAGTCACACACGTCCATGGCCTTGGTTTATTCCCCTGGGGCATGGTGTCTCTAACACATAGAGGTCCCCATAGGGAGCTCTCTTCCAAGCAGCTGCCCCAGCCCTCCCTGCCTGGCGTCCATACCTGGGCTCTGCTCCTGCTGGCCCGGCATCCTCAAAGTTACCCCGAATCCCCCAATCTGGCCTGGCCTCTGCACTTCCAGTATCTTCCCCTACTGGGCAAAACTTTGCACCTCACTGCCTCTCCACATTCCCTGGATTTCAAGACCCAGCTGAGGCCTCAGGACCTTCAGGACTCCTCATGGCAATGGAGGCCCCAGGCCTTCTTCCTGGGGCTGTGGAAGGGCACAGTGAATGTGAAAGCCTGTGGCCAGCTACAGCCAAGGAACTCCCTTTGAGGCAAAGGGAAGAAGTAGCAGGGCTGAGGCTTTCTAGGACTTTAAACTCAGTGCTTCCAGGGGCAGTCCCAGGAACTGGAGCCTGGTGCAGGAGTCTTGGGCTGGAGGCTGGGCCCTGGGGAACCCCCTCATGACCCTGCAAGCACAGGGAATCCAGGTTGGTGGCCTACCCCATGCTGCACCCAGACTCACGCCATGATGCCCGACAGGTGGAAGAGCTCAGCCGACAGGTAGGCCATGTAGCTGTAGAGGAAGACGAACAGCGGCTCGATGACGCGGATGTGGGCCGTGAATCGGGAGGTGAAGGCTGCAATGACCCCGTAGACCACGCCTACAAACACCCCACCCAGGGACACCACGAAGAAGCTCAGGAAGCCGAGGACGATGTCCACAATGCCCACTCGGTCATAGTTGGCAAACTCCTCAAAGAGGTGATACAGGACCTGGGGGGGGGGGGAAGGTGTAGGCTGGTTGGCAGGAGGGCAGAGCCCTGGACCACCCCCCCCGCCGTCTAGCTCCCTGGGGTCCACCTAGAGTGATCGCATGCCCTCCATTGAGGCCACATGGCCACAAGAGGAGGCCACCTGATAGCAGAAAAACCCTAGTGCCAAGCAGGTGGTCAAACCCACTGGCCCAGGGGCCGGAGGGCCTTGCTTCAGGCCTGCAGCGTGCTGTGCTGATTAAGAGCACACACTCCGAAGCCAAACCAGCTGGGCTGGAACTGTGACTCTGCTGTTCCCCAGCTGTACACTCGGGGCAAATTACTCCAGCTCCCCGTGCTTCACTTCCCCTCACCCTAAAGTGGGATAACAGTACCAACCGTATAGGGCTACTGCGAGAATTAAAACTAGTTCATAAAGGCAAAGTGCCCAGAACCATGCTCATCACAGTGCCAGCTACCACTCGCGCCAGTAAGTGGCCTCTCTCACGGTTCGGCCTTGGGCAGACTGTGTCCCTGTCTGGATCTCAGTCTCTCCTTCAGCGCAAAGCAGAGAAAGTTCAGACAACGAACTAGAACAGGACTTCTTAGCCTCTGGAAGTTTCTGAAAATATACACAGCCAGGCCATACCCTGCTTGGATTCTCGGGGGGTGGGGCCCAGAAATCTCTGTTCAACAAGCTCTCCAGGTGGTTACCATGAACAGCCAAGTTCAGATGCTACGGAACGAGGGGCTTTCTAAGGCTCCCCCGCTGCCCCTCGACTGGGAAATACAGTGTCACCGTAGTGCTAGCAACAGACGTTGAAGTGGCACATCACATACCATAAAGCCCTTGGACAGTGGCCATCCTGCTCAACACATAACAGCCTCATGGGGTCGGCGAGCCAAGGATGCCTGTTCCTCCCCTAAACTGAAGCTGAGTGGCGGAGCGACTTGACAAAGGGCCCCCAGGCCCCAGCAACAACCAGGCCCAGAACTTGTTCCCTACAGCAGGGGGCAGGCCCTCCTGGACGGGGGCAGCTTTGAGGTTCTGCCTGCACTTAGGTGCCGGCTCCCTGGCTACTGGGCCTACTCCTAGGCAGCTTGCCAGGAAACCGGCTGGGGACTTCCCAGGCCTGGGGTGCTGAGGGAGAGGGAAGAGGACCTGAGAACTGCTGAGAAGGAACTCTCCAAAGCCCCCAGGACCTAAAGGCAAGGAGGCGTGGGTAGGAGAAGTGACCTGAGACCATGCAGCTCAGGGGCTGCCTTCAGCTTTAATGTCAGGAAACAGGGCACTCACCCTCATGCCCAGAGCTCTAGAAAGGGCCTGACATGGGCCAAGCAAGAAGGGGAGAGACCAAGCACTGGCCCGTCCCCAGTGTTGCCTGGGCCATCGCCGTCTGAGAGACGGGGCAGGGATCCAGCAGTGGACAACAGGTGCGTTCTCAGCCCTAGGCTACGTACACTCACTCCTGGCCTGAGGAGATTCATGGGTCCCCAGGGTCTACCCCCTGGACCAATGGGGCAGGTAGAGAGGGCAAGGTCGTCCTTTCCCACCTGGTTGTACTGTCAATGGGAGTAGAGAGGCAGCGCGGCATAGTGGTAAGTGTGGGGGCTCTGGACTCCCACCGTGTAGGTGTGAAGCCCAGCTACATCACTTACCATCACTTACCAGCTAAAATGACCCTGGACCAGTTCCCTAACCTGTATCAGTAGCTCATTTCCTCACTTGGAAAAACGGGATAATTACAGTGCCAACCTCATGGAGTTTCTGTGCGCATTAGATAAGGCAATAGTCAGACTGGAAGTGCTCAGACAGGAAGTGAGCACGGGCAATTCCTACTGGTACTGCCACCGCCTGGGGAGACTTGGCCATAGGCCCAAGTTGGCCAGACTGAGGTACCACTTGACATAACCACAGCCCCACTGCTCCCCAGGAGAGCCAACCTAAACCCCAAGACCCAGATCCAACTGGGGAGGGCTTGGTCTGTGGTACCCACTGGTGTGACCCCTGTAAGAACCCTGGGAGGATGACGGGCCGGGTACCGCAATCCTTGTTACAGATGGAGAAACTGAGGCAAGAGCTGGTGCTAGAAGGCCCAGCACCAAGGCCTGCTTGCTTAGATCAGGCTGCTGCTCTCCCGGCCCCACAAGTACCCAACGAAGGCAGCAGGGGAGGAAGAGGAAGAGGAGAGGAAGCTGAGGCTGCCTGCGGCAAGCCGACCACCACTACTTTGTCTCTTTGAGGTGCGGCTTCCGGAGGGACTGGGGGTGGGTGAAGAGGGGGTGCGTATGTGAGCGTGCACACGTGCCCTTGTGTTTTCCTACTCTCCGAGGGGTCCAGCGAGGAGGAGAATGGGGGTGTTTTCACAACATGACTGAGTGTGCACATACACGTACCCGTTTCCTGAGGAAACTGGCTGGGGGGAGGGCATGTGTCAGCACAGGCAGCGTGGCCGCGTGCGGACTGCGCTGGGGGCGTCTGTCCTTACTGGCCCCTGGGAGGACAGCACCACCCACTCGGCCACTTTGCTATCAAAGCGGAGGCCCAGAGAGGTACAGTCACTTGCCTAAGATCACATAATAAGCGAGTGGCCAACCTCGGGCCAATCCATTTTACCACTTTCTAGAGGGTGTTTTTTTTGTTTTTTTTATAGTAAATTTTATTTTTTATTTATTTTTTTTAAGATTTTTTTTTTTTTTTTTTTTTTTTTTGAGAGAGAGAGTGAGAGAGAGAGCACAAGAGCGGGGAGCGGGAGAGGGAGAAGCAGACTCCCTGCTGAGCAGGTAGCCCAATGCAAGACTCGATCCTGGGACTCCAGGATCCTGACCTGAGCCGAAGGCAGTCGCTTAACCAACTGAGCCACCCAGGCACCCTTTTATTTTTTTAAAAGTAGGCTCCATGCCCAACGTGGGGCTGGAACTCGTGACCCTGAGATCGAGAGTCACATGCTCTACCGAGCCAGCCAGGCGCCCTTCCTGGAGGTTTTGAGGGCAGGGTCCTTTTCCACCACGGCTGCCTCTGAACTCTGCACAAACCGAACTGTAACTTAGGGTGCAGCCAACAGGACAGCTGCACTGGCCCTCCCAGGCTCAACAGCCTATAAAGGGTAAAATGAAGTCTAAAGATGATACATAATTTAACCAAGTTCATCTCACAGTCCAAGTCAGGGACAGAGAGGGTATGGCCTGGAAAGGCCAGGAGCTCAGGCCCTGACGTCTGACAGATCTGGCTTCTAACCTTGGTCCTATCACAGGTTAGCAAGTCGTCTGACTTTAGTGGGCCTGCTGCCTCCTCGGTAAAGGAGAATAAAAAGCACTTCCTAAGGGCATCACAAGGATTACATGAGATAATGCACGTCGAGTGCTCAGCACGATGCCTGGCACACAGCCAGCAGGAAGGGGCATCTGCTGTTTTGCTACTGTGATTAGCGGGTGGAGGTGGGATTCACTCTGGACCTGGATTCGGGTCTGGGCCCCTCACCACAGTGACGGCGTCATTGAGCAGGGACTCCCCGAAGACAAGGATATGCAGCAGCTCGTTGATGTGGATCTCCTCGAAGACGGCCAGCACGGCCACGGGGTCCACGGCGGAGATGATGCTGCCGAAGAGCAGGTTGTCCAGGAGGCCGATGTTGTTGATCTGCTCGCCGCCCACCAGGCACACGGCGTACATGAGGCCGCCCAGGAAGAAGGCATTCCACAGCGTGCCCACCACGGCGAAGATCAGAATGGTGCCCAGGTTCTCCGTGAACTGCCGCAGCGGCAGGAAGTAGCCCGCGTCCAGGATGATGGGCGGCAGCAGGAAGAGGAAGAAGACGTCTGACTGCAGGAAGGGGGGCTTCTCGCCCACGCCCTTGATCAGGCCCCCCACCAGCAACCCCACCACGATCAGCAGGCAGCTCTCTGGGACGATGCTCGAGATAGTGGGGATCACATGGAAACCTGCGGAGGGTGAGAGAACAGGAGGCCATGGGCTTGCGGCGAGCCGGGACGCGAGGCTGGGGACGGGGCTGGAGATAAGAGCAGCTGGTGACAGGGTTTGGCCTCAAAGGGCCGCTCTGGTAACTCTCTAAGCCTTGACTTCCTTGCCCGGGACATGGAAGTGGTAATACCAGCTTCCCACGGTTTGCTGTATACAGTAAGCGACAATGTTTTTGAAGTGTTTTTCTCAAAGGATATACAGATGTTATCCCTGTCTCTGTCAGAGTGGTAGAAAGAAGCAGCTCTGTATGCCTCCAGAAGGCAGAAATGATCCACTAATTACCGAGGCTTCAGGTATCCAAGGGCATTACCTACACCTCCATTCCTAGACTCGGGCACTTTCCTGCCGAGCCCACAGAGCTGCTCAAGAAGCCAAAGAGCGATTAATGAAATTTGCAGATGAGACAAAACCTATCTGCCATCTGTTTCTAGCCTAATCTCCTCCACTTTAGAGATGGAGCAACCGAGGCTCAGAAAGGGGAAAGGACTTGCCCAAGGGCACACAGCAAATTAGCAGCAGGACCAGGACAGAACCCAGGTCTGAACCCCCAGCTCCCATCAAACTCCTAAGTTCTGTAAGTCGACCCCTGCTCTCCCTCCTCATCAAGGCACAAACATGCCCCTCTGCCTGAGACCTGCCAACCCTCTCCCTGAGCCAGCAGCACTGGCCCACCCTAGGGCCCCAAACCCAGAGCTAGGAAGTAGCAAAAAGTCCCCTCTGAGAGGTACTCTCTCAGTGCCAGGTTTGGCCCCAAGCTCCCTAAGGGGTTCTGGTTTGTTTTCGGGTGGGGAGTTAGGTAGACAAGACCCCAGCACGTATCTGCATGCTGGGTACCAAAAACCCCAGGGTCAGCTTGGTTAAGAAAGTATGATACTTTGTTCAAGGTGAAAGCTCTTGCTTTCCTCCTCCCCTCCCTAGCCTACATGCTCTGTGCAGGCAGATTCCGTTTATATAATCAGATGCCCAGGGCTAGGGACATAAGAGGTATGCAGTAAGTATCTACTGATTTGAAAATGCACAGGGCTAGGCCATTACTCACATAATTCCTGATAACCCACCTGGCCAGGCTTTGGCTCTTATTACCCCTGAGATCCTTGGGAAGGAGAAGAAACATCATTCCCCATGGCCAAAGCCCCTCCCACTCTCGAGCACTAATCTGGGTAGTGCCAGCAGAACTACAAGTCAAGACTCACACTCGAAACACTAGCTAGGCCCAGAACACTGGCACCAAGCTCCCAGGAGATACTCAAAACATGCTGGAAAAAAACACGTCTCCATCCTAGGCCAGGAGAGAACCCCAGAGCTGCTACGTGCATTCTCCTGGCTTCAAAATGGACCTGACCAAACTCACCTCTTGCTGAAAAATTCCCCAGTTTTGTAGTGTCTACCAGTAAGTCCCAGTGTTCGGTTGGCTGGTGCACTGGAAGGGACATCTCCCCCTAAAGGAGCCACATCCTCTTTTGCCTGCAGGTCTTTGCCTGGTCTAGTCTGTCTCCCCAGAACACTATTCCTGTACTTTTATCCCTACTGTGTGTGGCTGACACCACAGGCTTCTACCAGCTTCCTGCCCCAGGAAGCATTCCCTGACCACCCGTCTGCTCATGGTAGGGCAGGAGGCCTTCTCTGGTGCCTCTCCTTCTCGAACCTTCAATCCACAGTCACTGTCCCAATTCCTCTCTCTCCCTGGCACCCAGCAAGGTCAGACAACCCAGGCAGGAGCAGCGAAGACAGGACAATAGTACCATACCCAGAGACGTGCACTGCCCTGGAGGGGAGATAGGATGGCGAGGGGGTCGAGGGGAGCAGAACCCTGGCAGCCACCAGGAAGCCGCTTCTCAAGGCCAGGAGTCCAGCTGACCTCCACACCCTAGCCTGGAATTGAGCACCTGTGCTGGAAGTGAGCACCAAGAGGAAAAGGCACAGTCTGAAGAGACAGCCCAGGGCAAGTAGTGGACAGCCTCTGCCTCCGCCTAGCACATTACACTTTAAAAATGCCTCCCCATCCCTCTCTGCCATCAAAGCTTGCCTGGCCCCCGAAAGTACCCCACTGTGCACTGCAGACCCAGAGATGAGGACCACACGGAGGGATGGGGTAAGGGGACAAGTGAAACAAGCCAAGAGTGGGAACATGAAGAACGTTCATTATTCCTGAAGGTGCACCGCAAGCCAGGCACTGTGCTGGGAACCTAGCACAGAGCATCTCTTTAGTCCTCGCAATCGCCCTGTGGGGTTCACATTGTCCCCACTTTGCAGAAGAGAAAGCTGGGGCTTGGCAAGACTCAGTGGCTTCCCCAGAGTCTAAGGGAGAAGTTCTACTCTAGCTTAGAATATCTGTAGTAGAGAGAGCTACTCAATCTTTTACTCAAACATGGGTATTTTCTCTGAGCCGGGCTGGTGTTGTGCACTGGGGACACGGAGGTGACTCAGAGTCAGAACCTCCATGACAAACTCATGGGAACAGCTTTTCCCAGTCTCAGGACCTTCGGGCCACCAGGCCTCCCTCACTAGGTTAAGAGACGGCTGGCATTCCTGTTTGACAGAGGTAAAACCTGGAGCTCAGAGGAGGCACGACAGGCCCAGGCCACCAAGGACTGTTAGGTCCTGGGCCTCCTGACCTGGGTGCAGTGCACTTTCGTCCACAGAAGCTGGCTCCCACAGTACCTGGGGCTGGAGCCATGTTCCCAGAGCCAGTCCCCCCGGGTCTTCCTGTGTCGGTCCTGCCTCTTGGCGAGCAGGCCCTGACGGGCAAGGGCAGGGCAGGGAGGGGCCTGGGCTTAAGAGGAAGGTCTGGGATCCACTCTTGGCTCCTTACCTCGGGTAGGCAGCACATTACTGAAAAGCAAGCTTCCGGGGGGTGGGGAAGGGCACAGCGGTGTAGGCAGGGGGCGGCTGCGGGCCTGTTCTGGCTTGTCCCCCTTCCAAGGCCCTGACTCCACCAGCTGTTCCCACCCTGCAGCCCTGAAGAGTCTCCTTAAAATGCAGGAAGTTTGCTGACACCAGGTGTGGTGAAAGGGGCACGGTTGGGGCCCCCAGTCCCCCGACAAAAGCCCACCATTAAGGTGAGATCCCAAGATGCCAAGAAATAAGGCAAAACTCCCAGGGCCCAAACTGTGGCACCATGATGTCACCAGGATGGCATCTGGGGTGGGGCAGAGGCAGTTAGAGTCAAATCCAGAGCCAGGAGAGCTCGGACAGACTCGAGATCATCCAAACCCTCTGCTCCTCGGTCAGGGAAACTGAGACTCACAGACAACCAGTGACCTGCCAATGTCACATGACCATTCCACCATGAGAATGCAGGAAGCTCCAGGTGCGGGGAGTTCTCAAACCACACGGCCTTCTGGGGGGCATCCAGTCCTCCCAGGGCAGGGACGCGAGAAGGTGTGGAGTTCCTCGTGTCCGAGTCGCCGGGCGAACCTGCCCACACAGTCCCCGCCAAGGGAGGGCAGAGGTGGCTCCGTGTCCAGTGCTGGCAACTGCAGGGGACGGAGGGACACACACACTCACCCACTCTCTCGCCCTCTTACATGCTCACCAGCTCCCTCGTACACACTCATCCCCACACATTCTCTCTCACACACTCCCCACTCTCACGTGTGCTCTTGCACTCTTACACACTCCCTTGTACACATACTCAGCCTCACTCTAGCTCATATACACATTCCTCACACTCACAGACTCTTAAACACTCCCGCGCTCTTATACTCACCCACTCTCTTACACGCTCACTCCCTCTTACACTCATCCACACTCTAGCTCTTATAACACACTCTTACAATCATTCGCACCCTTTCTCACACACGCTCACACTCTCTCTCTCACACACACACACACACACACGGAGGTACACTGAACAGACACTTGAGCCAACCTCAAACTGGCGAGGGGTTCCCGGTGCCTCTGCAGCTTCGCTGTGCTCCACCGTGAGAAAGCTTATTTCCACCCCCTGGGACGGTCCCCATCTGCTGAGACTGGGGCAACGGAGCAAGCAGCAGGCAAAGCTGTTCCACGTCACCCTTGGTTGCCAGGGTGACCAGACACCCCAGATCCCACTTCCTGTGTCTCTCCCCGGGGCGGGGCAGTCAGAGGGGAGTGCCGGGGCAGGGGCCTCCTTGGCGCACCCGTGCTGGTCACCAGAGACCCCGGAGTGTGCGAGGAGGGGCTCTGTCGCCCTAGTTCCAGGCCTGAGGACTGCTCTGGGGCTGCAACTCGGCCAGGTCCCAAGGGATTCCTGGTTGCACACGATTCCACTTATCTAACTCCCTCTTCAACTGCCCCAGCAACCAGTCTCAACGAGTCCTGAAAGGTAATACCTCCCAACGAAAACCTGGCACTCCACAGTTTACAGCAGGGCGCTCGGATACTTTTTATCTCATTCGCACCTCATCACAGTTCTGGGGTCACGATGACCATCCCCTCGTTTCATAGATGAGGAAACTGAGGGACAGAAAGGTTAAGCAACCTGCTCAAAGTCAAGTAGCTGATCACGGACTCAAACCCAGGCAGTCTGGCTCCAGAGTTTGTGTTCTTAGCCACTCATCACATCATCTCTGCTTTTATCCTTATTTTGTTTCTAAGGGGAGCGTCAGTGCCCAGGCCCAAAGAGGCTCTGAGAGGGCCAGAGATGGTATTCTTTCCATGAGCTCTCCTCCAGGGAAGTCTCACCACTGCTCCCCTTCCACTCCACTGGCTAGTAAGAACCTTGGGAAATCCCTCCTATCTTTTAGGTCTGCCACCTCCAGAAAGCCCTCCCAAGTTAACTCAGCCAGAAGTGCTCAGTCTTACTGGCTAAATTTCTAAGGCAGGAGGTGGGAATGATCAGAATGCTCAGCCCCTGTCTGCCTGATCTGTATACAGCTCCGGTCTCCGCTGGGGCTGGAGGCTCCTTTGGGGTAGGAGGAGCTCCGATTCTTTCCACCATCAACGTCAGCTATGAGGACCAAGGAAAAAGGACACACTC